GAAGGAAGGAAGGAAGGAAGGAAGGAAGGAAGGAAGGAAGGAATAGACTGCTTCATAGGGCTTTACAGTCCTCCAAGCAGACCAACAATCTTGATCCTCATTTTACCCCCCTCGGAAGGACGAGAGACTGAGTCAACCTTGAGCCAGTCGGTCAGAATCGAACTGCTGGCATTGGGCAGAGTTAGCTTACAATATTATATTCTAATCAGTGGGAAGGAAGGAAGGAAGGAAAGGAAAGGAAAGGAAAGGAAAGGAAAGGAAAGAAGGGAAGGGAAGAAGGGAAGGGAAGGGAAGGGAAGGAAGGAAGAAAGATAGCAATAGCCCTTAGACTTACATACCGCTTTACATGGCTTAACAGCCCTCATTAAAGCGGTTTACAGAGTCCAGCCTCTTGCTCCCAACAATCTGGGTCCTCATTTTACCCCCCTCAGAAGGCTGGAAGGCTGAGTCCATCTTGAGCCTGGTGAGAACTGCCAAATTGCAGGCAGTCAGCAGAAGTAGCCTGCAGGACTGCACTCTAACCACTTGGGCCCCCGAGGCTCATAAAATACAGAACGGCGACGAAAAATTTCCACTTGGTGGCCATCGAAGTGAACCAAGCACCGCCTGCACGAACCTTCTGTTCTTTTGCAGCTGGGAGGCAGAGATCCCTGCAGGCTTCTTGGCTGGAAAGCCGGATTCGGGGGAGCTTTGGTTTTAATTTTTCTCCCCATTCCTTTTCTTGGGCTGTAGTAATTCTCTGCCCCCTTGTCCGTGTCCTTGTTGCCCTCGCGCAGATCACCGTGCTGCAGCTGTCCGCGCTGCTGAAGCAAGCCGATTCCAGCAAGCGGAAGTTGACGCTGACCCGCCTGGCCTCCGCGCCCGTCCCCTTCACGGTGCTGAGCCTGACGGGGAACCCCTGCAAGGAGGACTACCTGGCTGTTTGCGGGCTGAAGGTAGAGAGAGAGAGAAAGACACGGCAGGGTGGCCCTCTGCTTCTCGGCAAGGAGGGTGGGTGGTTGGGTGGCTGACTGTGGAAGAGAGATGGCCTTCCTTTGTACAGCCAGTCCTCGACTTAACAACGGCTTGTTCAGTGACCATTTGAAATTACAGCAGCACTGAAAAGTGTGATTTATGACCATGTTTCACACAATTAAGACCGTCGTAGCATCTCTGTGGTCACGTGATCCACATTGGGAAGCTTGGCGACTGGTTCAGATTTACGACGCTCGCCGTGTCCCTGGGTCGTGTAACTCCCCTTTTGCGACCTTCCGTCAAGCCAAGCCAACCGGGAAGGCAGATTCCCTTAACAAACCTTATTCCTTAACTTTTACAGCTGCAGTGATTCACTTAAAGATTGGGGCAAGAAAGGTGGTAAAATGGGGCAAAGCTCGCTTAACAACTGTCTCGCTTTGCAGTGGAAATTTGGGGTTCAATGGCCGTTGTAAGTTGAGGACTATCTGTAGCCCAGGGGTCTCCAAACTTGGCAACTTGAAGACTCGTGGACTTCAACTCCCAGAATTCTCCAGCCACCTGTGCTTAAAGTCTTAAAGTTGCCAAGTTTGGAGACCTGCTGTAGCCCTTTGCCGCCTCTTCCAGTGGGAGCTTGGTGAGGAGGACACAGTTTGGATTTCACCGGCTGGCGTCCTTCTCTTCTGTACAAGTCCATCTGCTGAGCATTTGTCCCTCTCCCAAACCCAACCTGGATTCACACCTTGCCTCCTCCCTCCACGCTGGTGATGTGAAGCCGAAGCGTTGCAGGTTATAAGCTGCGTGTCAGACCTGCTCCAAAATCTGATCTCTTAGGAAAGAAAAACCCTCGGCTCCGTTCGGTGAAAGCAAAGGGTTCTTTGACGAAGGGTGTTGGTTGCAGTAAAGACAAGCCAGCTCTCAAACTTCCCACACGCGCTAGATACAAAAATAAGGTTTGCCCCGCAGCCCGTCCTTCCCACCCCGCCTCCCGTGACCAGTCCTTTCCCAGACAACTGGAGTTCGCCAATATATTTTGAGAACTCTGAGGTGTGGTGGGGTAATCTGCAGGTTTCTCAGGGTGCCTGGTCTTGGGATGCTGGTACGAACAGGATCCGATTGCTCTGGTCCTTCTCAGCTGTCATTCCCCCTTCCTGCTTTCCTATCACATACACACAAAGCATTTTTATGCTTTCATCCTCTGTTGAGGTAATTCCCCGTTAGGAGAATGAGCGCATACAGGGAGACGTATTTGAGAGGAGTGTCGGAATAATACACACAGAGCACACAGATACACCGTACAGTAAATGTAGGTTTTTACTTCCAGAAAGGTTTCAGCAAAGTCCAAAATAAGCAATCCAAAGTCATTCACAAGTTAAATCAGTCAGTTTTTCAATCCAGGGATAATCCAAATATCAAATTCCAGTGTCAAAAACAGTTCAGTAACAGACTTACATTAAATCCAGTAATATCAGTCAATTAGAAGAAATGGAGCAACAGCAATACTTTCCAACAGAAGGAAACAGAGATAACTCACTCAGACACACTCTCTTCTGAGACTAAGACTAAACAACCCAGGTTTCTGGCTCCATCTTATGGCCGTTTGAGAAACCACACCCAATTGCATGCTCTTGCATTCCCTTAAAGATACAGTACTAAAATGTTTATCCTGGTTTATATATTTCTAACCCAAATACCTGTTAGGTGACTCATATTCCTAACATCCTCCCCCCACCTTCTCTTTATGGCAGGATGCCTGTAAAGCCCCACCAAGCCGAACCAGGCAGATCGGATGCCGTGGTTCGTGATCACGGTGGTGCGCTCAACCAAACATATCAAACCAAACTTTTATCAGTCTCTCCCTCTCTCTCTCTCTCTCCTGCTTGTCTGTACGCGTGCCTCTGTTAACTCCCCTCTCTTGCCCCTTCCAGGACTGCCACGTCCTCACATTCAGCAGTTCGGGCTCCGTCTCAGATCACTTGGTGCTCCACCCTCAGCTTGCCACGGGCAACTTCATCATCAAGGCTGTCTGGCTTCCGGGATCCCAGACGGAACTGGCCATTGTCACTGCTGACTTCGTCAAGGTAGGGTCAAAGTGGAGGCTGACTAGATTCCTCCTGTCCCTCTCTCTCTCTCTCTGCTCTGATATCGGTCAGACCTGCCTCAATTCAACCCCTGAAGAAAGAGAGACCCTCGACTCCCTTCGGATGAAGTGAAAGGCTCTTTTGCTCAAAGACGCTGGTAGCGGTCAAGTCAGGCTAGAACTAAATCTCCCGCGTGAAAGCATGCAGGCTTTCCCTGTCAATCCATCCCTCCCCCACTTGGGCGGTCCAACGCCATCCAATAGGCAGAGGTCTAGTTTTGGGAACATTTGGGGTTTGGAGCAATCAACATCCCATTCCCAGCTTCTCCGGCCTCTTGGTGTTTGGCACGAACTGGGTTCAAACCATCTCTGGTCTTCCTTAACTGTTCTTCCCTCCTCCCTATTTTCCAACGCTATCCTACCACATGTTTATTGTCCGTTTGTCCCTTGCTCCCCGCATTTTCTCCTTGCTATTGATGGCAGGATGCCGATGAGGGCTGAAGATGCCAGAACCCTCTTTGGTGGCCAGGCAGCGTTCTGACCTAGGCACGAAAGCACAACAGCACGAAAGTCCTCGTCCCGATAAACCAAACCCCTTTTATGTGATTTACAATGAATTTCCTCTCCAACAAAGTCCTGGGCAACAATCTTTCACGATAGTTCACAATTACAAACCTTTATCAGGCTTGGAGAGGAGCCAGGCCGATATCTTTCAGACGCAGCAATACTTGGCAAGCATGCCGGAGTGAACTAATAGTTTCCTGCAAAGTCCCTCTCCCCTTTTATACTCTAGGGGAAGGGCCATTCACCGTCCACCTGTGACTTTACTCCCAAGTTGGCCCTTGTTCCTCAGCTGTTCCCTTCGTCTGGCAGCTCTGTGCATGCGCACACTGGGATCAGGCTCCAGCTGTTCTTCTTCCCCACTGATCTCCAACTCTGAAGGCAGCTGATAACTGTTCAACGGCCCTGGCCCTCTCTCTGCCTTCGATGCAGAGCCCTCGTCAGAGCCCTTCCCAGACTCCAGGACTGGCCCATGCTCCTCCCCAGCCTCCTCCCTGTCTGAATCTGCTTCCAGCTCCGCTGGCCGCTGTCAGGTCAAAACAGGCAGGGGGGGCCTCTCTTTGGTCTCCCCCACCCCAAATCTTCCCTTTTCCTTCTGCTCACATAGATCTACGACCTCTCGGTGGATGCCTTGAGCCCCACCTTCTACTTCCTGCTGCCCAGCTCCAAAATCCGGGACATCACCTTCCTCTTCAACGAAGAGAGCAAGAACATTGTGGTCATCATGTCCTCCGCGGGCTACATTTACCTGCAGCTCATGGAAGAGGCCAGCAGCGCCCAGCACGGCCCTTTCTACGTCACCAATGTCCTCGAAGTCGCCCACGAGGACCTGAAGGTATCCCACCCTGCCTCCTCCAGCCTCCTCCCTCCACGTGGCTACTGGCGCTGTACAGAAACTCTTCCTCCCCGTTTAGAAACGGGGCTTCCTTGATTCCGCAGACTTCATTTGCGTCAAAAGTGCTTTTTATTTTGAAAAGGCAACCGGAGTGATTTTGAGGAGAAACGAGAAGTTTCGCTTCCTGTCCTCTAAGCTTCATCAGTTTCTGTATTCCATCTCCCATAGCTTCCTGTAGAACCTGATGAAGCTTCCAGGGCAAAATGTCTCATTTTTTTCCTCAAAATCATTCCGGTTGTCTATATATATAAAAGCGAAATACCACTCATGTGTCATCACAAAATCTCCAGAACCGTAAAGCCTACAAACTTGAAGTTTGGCACCTATGTTCCTCTTGGTTTCTAGGTGCTCGCTAAGAAAGGATTTTTCGAAATGACCATCAGAGCATTAATATTCCGTATATTATCATTAACACGCTCTGATGCTAAGGAGTTCTACTCCCCCCTCCCCACCTGAAAAGAAATCTGTTCCAAATGCAAAACACAAGCTGAGGAGAGGAGTTTCCGTTTTAGTTTCACAGCAGCAAGCAGCTTTAGTACAGAACAGTTGAGCTAAGCCACCCCCAGGCTCCTTGCTGTCTCCTTGCTCACACAGGAAATATTGTTTCACTTTCCAAACAGCCCTCCACTCTCTCACACACCGACAGGACGCTAGCCAGATGAATATTGATGGATGCTGGTAGGCAGAGGCAGAATTTTTTTCACCCTTATTTCCCTCCCCGAAAACTAAGCCCGAACACACCGTCCTGTAGCAAAGCACGGGCGTCGAGCTATTTCAAAATAAAAACCACTTTTGATAACAACTATGAGCTGGATTAACTGAGAATCTTCGCAGACGCTTTAGGGTCAGAAAAAACAGTTTTTTGGGGGCAGCCCATCTGTGACCTCCTCCGCCTTCGTATCCCCAGCAGGACAGCAATGGCCAGGTGGCCGGGGGCGGAGTGTCCGTCTACTACTCCCACGTCCTGCAGATGCTTTTCTTCAGCTACTCCCAAGGGAAGTCCTTCGCGGCCACCATCAGCCGAGCTACCTTGGAGGTGCTGCACCTCTTTCCCATCAACATCAAGAGGTGAGGAGGCCTTTTCTCTCCACCCCTCCCTCCCCTCCCCTCCGCGAATCTTGGGATAGATGCAGAAGAGCCAGGGATAATTTGGAATTGGGGGGGGGAGGGGGCGGGCTCGCCTCTGAATTTCCCCAGCTTTGGGGAGGTCTTGTACAGGTACCGCTCGGCTTAAGGACCGCAACCGAAAACCACATTTCTGTCATTCAGCGAGGCATTTGTTCATCCCGTTTTCGTGACCTTCCTGGCCTCAGTTGATTTTTTTTTTTTTTAATTGAGTATAAGCATTAAAAACATCGAACGCGGTGGGCTTCTTTGACGTTTCTGTCGGTACATTTTGCATTTAGAAAGATAAAGGAAGTATTGCAATTATATGCATTTATTTACATATGTACATTTAAACTTCATAGTTTTTAAAAAAACCTTTTTCATTATTCTTCAATTATGAGGTCCTTCACCTCTTCCCTATTTCACCTTAGGTTCTTATTTCAATTTTATGAACTCCCTTTCATATTCCCTCCAGAAGTAAAAGTTTATTCCATATTTTGTGGTATTCTGATTGTCATCTTGGTCCTTCAATTCTAATGTCAGCCTATCCATTTCAGCGCATTGTAATATCAATCATAACACCCTCACTAGGGATTTCACTTGCTTTCCAATTTTGGGCGAATATCATTCTTGCTGCTGTGATTAGATGTATAATTAAATAGGTATCGGCTTTGCTAAATTCCTCTTCCTTTATTCCCAATAAGAACATCTTTGGTTTGTAACAAATGTTTAGCCCCGTCATTCCCTCTAGCCATGTCCAAATTTTGTATCAGAATCCCTGAGCTTTTTTTACAGGGCCACCATACGTGATAATAAGTGCCTCATTCTTTCAAGCGCTTCCAACAGTTGGGTGATTAGTTTCCATACATTTGGGCTGGCCTAGCTGGCGGGAGATGCCACCTATAGAACATCTTGTCCAAGTTTTCCTTGTATGATCCTGGTGTGGTTCGCCTGCAGCAGGTGCGGATGGCTGAGGTCTCGGAGAGCGAGGACTCAGATAAAGGGCCTGTGTGTGAGGCAGGGATGGGGCCAGGACCATCAGGGAGTGGAGATTGTGGAGGCTGGCAGCAGTGAGGAAGAAGACCCCAAGGAGCCTGTGTCCAGTGTGCGTGCGTGCAGGGTTGCTCGAAGGAAAGAGCAGCTGCAGCAGCACGGGCGACTCGGGAGTAAGGCTGCAAGGTAATGGCCCCTCCCTTAAGGGATAAAAGTCAGCTGAGAAACCGGAGTTCTTTGCAGGAAGCAAAGAAGTTTTTGCACTCAAGCCTTGTGGACATTCGTAGTATCTTGGAGACTCTTTGTGTTTGAAATATTTCTTGGCAACTTTCTCTAGTGTTCTGGGCAGCCTTGCAACACCTTGGCAAGGCTCCTTCTTATCAGAGACACTTAATTTGAAACCGCCTTTTAACCGGGAAGGAACGGAATTCGTAAAGAATCATTAAAAGGTTTTGCTGTTACCTCCGTTAGGTGTTTGTTTCCTTGGAACAAGGTTTTGGGTCAGAACAGATGTAGCTAGTGTAATCTTTTTGTTTCGCTCCCAAACTTGCTGTTTGGCTTCGGTTGTTAAGTGAGTCACCGCAGTGATCAGTTAGCAAGCCAGTTGTTAAGTGGAATGTGCCTTCCCCTCGCCGACTGCATGTCAGGAGGTCCTGTGACACCTCCCTCCCCGCAAGACGCTGCGACCGTCTTAAATAAGGAACCAGTTGCCAAGCATCTGAATTTGGATCCTGTGACCCTTGGGGAGGCTGCGGAGGTCCTGAGTTGCTTTTTTTCCAGTGAGGTCCTAACTTGGAATGGCTGCTAAACGAACCGTGGCAATTCGAGGACTCCCTGATGTCAGGATTCTGGCACTTAACCCCCATTTAAATCATGAGTCTCGAGCCAAACTTCCAAAACTTAAAGATTTATTAGGAGTTAACATGTCCGGCACTGCCTGGGTGTGGCCGACTCTGAGACACATCATTCACTGTCAACCTTGACCCTGGTTTTCCCCCACCCCTCTAGGTGTATCGTAATTCATATCCTCCAATGGGACACTTCCATAGCCCAGAGTCATCAATCATGCTCTCCAGTTAGAACTTTGCCTGGCGGAAACTTCAGTCACCTAGTTACTATCTTTGAAAGCATTTATGGAATGCGCTTTCGGTTTGCAAGCTGCCGCACTGCCCCCCCCGCCCTTCCCTTTCTGCTGGCAACTCTAAAAAGACCAGAGAAATATGAGTTGACACCTGAATCCTTTTTCAGGCCTTTCCCCGGAGTCTAAGCAAAAAATGGCTCGTCGCTCTCGCTTAACCCCTCCTTCCCTTACAGCTCTAACGGGGGCAGCAAGACCTCCCCAGCCCTCTGCCAGTGGTCCGAAGTCATGAACCACCCCGGCCTCGTCTGTTGCGTCCAACAGACCACCGGCGTCCCTCTCGTCATGATGGTGAAGCCCGACACTTTCCTGATCCAGGAGATCAAGACCTTGCCGGCGAAAGCCAAGGTGAGTTGGGCCGGCCGGCCGGCCTTTTGGGGTTGGGGGGTGGGGGGCGGGCTCATCGGGGAGGTCAGCGGACGAGGGAGGGGGCTCTAAAGCAATTTGAAGACCCGCAGACAGAACCAGACCAAGTCACCGTGGAGCACCGAAGTGGCTCCTGAGTCAGGATCGGCAATGAAACGGCCCTGCTACATATGCCGGCGGGTGGGGTGAGGTGGAGGCAGTGGTGGGATTCAATTTTTTTTTTACTACCAGTTCTACTACACGCGTTTTCCGAATAGTTTTTGTCCCAG